GCACTTCAAAGCCGAGAGGGAGCTACAATTGCGGTGGAATGGGCGGAACTGATCATTGTATTGCACACCTCTAAAAAAAACACTGCCTCCGATTTATCAATATAAAAAAGATCCTCTGAGAGGAGGAGGGCACTTTTGTGTGATGGCAACTTCACTTCTAGGGGTGAGTCTCAGGGTTTTCTCTTGCTGGTTTAATTAGTTTCCTTTTATTGCCGATCGGAGGGGGTTAAAGTCGCCCCGGCCAGGCCACGGGCTATCAGTCTCTATTGAGAGCTGTTTTTTTNTTTTTTTTTTTTTTTTTTTTTTTTTTTTTTTTTTCCTTCTTCTTCTTCTTTAAATACAAGTGAGTTTGGAGAAAAGAAAGAGGGGGAGAGGGGGGCAGAGTCACTTTTTTCAGCACGGGAAAGGTTCGAAGGGCACTCAGACGAGCCGCCTCGCCGCGCCCGGCCGCTCCCTGCCCGGGGCCGCGCGCCCTGCCCATTTTACACGCGACGATTTCGGGGGGAAAGAGAGCAAGTTTTTCTTCCTGGGCAAACTGCAGATTTTCCCTCTTCCCCTTAAAAAATTCCGCAGCCCGCCTGGTCTTGCAGGTACGTTGAACCCCTCTCATTTTTTATTTTATTTTATTTTTTTACTATTGTAGACAATTTAAAAAAAAAAAAAAGAGAAAAGAAAATGAAAAGAACAGCAGAAAGAGCGAGCGAGCCAGCCGTATAGTTTGACCTCTTTTGGCCTGGGAGACACCGCCCAGGATGGGTGTCCGGGGACCGGAACAGGGTTTTCAAAGCTCTTTCTGGGTGACTCGAGAAGCGCTTTTAAAAGCAAATCCCATGGTTTTCCTCCCAGGCTTCTCGGCAAAGGAAACTTCCTTTCTCCCTAATCTGGACTTTTGCGTGCTTGTTTCGAAGTGCCCGGGGTCGTGCGTGCCAGAGGGTGTTGCTCTAGGTGAGACTATTTGTCACGCTCTTCTTTAGCATGGCGCTTTGCTCCCGAGCCAGACGCCGGCAGCCAAACTTGTCCCCTCCCGTAGAGTAGGAAGCGGCCGGGCGCCGGCGCTGTTGGGGGAGCCAGGTGAGTCGGTGGCGGGCACGCCGCAGCGAGAGATGGGGTGCAGCGGGGCGTCCGGAGGGCCACCAGAGGTCTGATGCCGATGTCTCTCCTCCCCCCCTCCGGCCCTCTGCC